GCCACGACTGGGCTTGCTGCGGCAAAGTATTAGATAACAGATAGCAGCAATGCAGCAGAGTAATAACACTCACACAGGCGACGGAGTCTTCGGGGTAGATGGCGGGCTAGAGTTGGCAGCACGGCTGCGTCTGCAACATACAATATTAGAGAAGCACAGCATAAAGTGAAGACACATACCCAATCTTTGGGGTCAGCTCGACCTCCTGGCGGCTGTCTTCCTCGTCATCGCTGCATGCAGTGTTAGATTTGCATGGGGCTAATGTTGCATATCGTACCTGATCATCATGACGTCTGCAGAGACACTTTCGTTGTCACTGTAAGGATACCCTTCAGAACTGAAGCACATCAAACGAAAAACCATGCAGAGCAACGTACGAGGTATTGTCAGCAGCAGCCTCCTCCATGCCAAGGTCAGACTCTGTCTGGATGTCGGACTCATCGGAGCCTTCCTCCGCGTCGCTGTCAATGGCCCGCACTGCCTTGCCACGGACGGCCTTCCCTCTATAGTGGCTGAGAAAATTGTGCTAATGAGGAGAGAGCGACACTCACTTAGTGGCAGATGCTGCCGGGGCCTTGCGGGCAGGAGCTGTGGTCTTGCGCACTGCTGCAGCCTTGGCACCTTTAGCCTGAGCCGGAGCAGCAGCCTTCTTGGCAACAGCCTTCGGGCTGCAGAAAGGATCAGTATACCGCAGCAATATAGTACACACAAAAGACACTCACGCCTTTCCAGCGGCGACACGGGTGCGGGTAGTACGTCCGGCCATGGGGATAGATGGTGGGGTAGAGAAGTGGAGGGGGAAAGTAAAAGATGCTGAGAAGAGCGTTGGGGAGGACTCGAGGTAAGGAGGACTCTGCCTGGTTCCGCTGCCCTCCGGCCCTTTTATCCTTCTCAGAAGCGGGGTTCGGCGATATCGCCAGAGTTCTGGGACCTCGCTGTGCTCGCTTACCAGTGTTGGGGACAACGTGTTCCATTCCATGATGAGTGCCCTCCCGTGAACGCTGCCTGCAGAGCGACACCCCGTGCACCAACTCTGTATCCCATACCAGTGAAATTGCATACATATGTACCAGAATACACAGTGCATCCATGGACACAGTAGGTGCACCTTTGTGAGGATCCTGTCTGTGCAAGACTCGTGGGGTGGTGGTTTGAAATTCGCATATGTGGGTGCGAATTTGAAATGGCTGCGCTGATGCAGCTTCTGGGAACTAGGATGGGCATCCCCAAAGTCCCGGCCGGTCTCTCGTCTGTTGTCAGCTCACAATTGGTGCGGCGAGCAGTGTGATGGTGAGAAAGCTGGACATCTCTCCCCAAAGGCGGAACATGCCTGAATCAGACTTTGTCGAGAGCGCATGTCGCAGTAGGTCATGACTTGTGCTGACTGCTGCTTCTTTCCTTCTTGACTCTCACCAGAAATCATGTCCTTCCTCACCCACCTCTATGGGAATGTTGCCAAGTACCGTGAGTGTGTGCATCGACAAAGTCAACAGAATACTCACCAGATTTACTAGAGGCTCTGCTCCTGGATTGCATGAGCGGGAATGCAGAGTCTGCTCCTCCGTTCACGCAGCTTTCAAGCTTTTCCGATGTCAGTGCCACTGCAGTCTTTTTTAAACACCCCTGACCTGTTTGCCAGCCTGCACGTCTTGTCAGCAATGTCGAGATACTAGAGCAGAGGGATGGCAGATTGCTTACGCTTATTCAACAATGAACATCCCGCTCTACCCCTCCCGAGGAGCTCGTGCTGCGTGTGCAGGGTTTTCTTGTTGAGTCTACTCTGCCTCCTATTAGGCGTAACCAGTGAGTGCTTGTACCTGTCTCTTGTCAGCCAAGCATCAACAGTTGCGTCAGACTCCCCTCAAACCCGAACCGGCTCATCGATCTCAGGCAAACTGTAACCGTGAGCGGCCTGGGCGTGGAGCCCTTTGACGGTGCAGTCAGTGCAGTCATGACCATCTATCAGCATTTTTGTGCGCACCTTGTCGGACACAATTTGCGCACCTGGAGCACGTCGCGTCTGGAGAACCACCTTACGCTTTCCTTCGGGAATCGGTACCTCACTGCTTCGAAGTTTGCTGAAGGCGAACCACGGGGTGATCTCAGTGATGTTGTGGACCCTTTCTATATCCTGCAGCCCCGTCTCACCACTCAAGTCCATCTGCAAGAGAATGTGGTCGAGTACTGGGAGAAAACGGTGACGGAGAACCAGGGCAGGTGTGTTGTTAGTGAATGTTTGCAATTGTGTCGATCTCTGACAGCGATCAGTTCCTTCCGCCGCATCAAGCCGGATGTAATCTTCCCCGGCACCATGGTTGAACTCCAGATTGCCTTTGCGGCTGTCAAGGTTGGGTGTCACGAATATATATTCCTGCCAAAGCTGCGGGCAATCTGTGTCCTTAGTCGTGCAGTGCAATCGGTAATTAAGGTGTCTCTGTTTCCTCTTCACCATGCTCATTACATGCAGGACTACAATTCGTCAGCCATCAAAGAGCTGAGCCTACGTGCTGTCTCGCCTCTCAAAAAGGTCAAGCGCAAGGTGGGGTATGGAGAGCAGGAAGAGACAGGGATGGAGGAGTCACGTCGGCAGCTGAAGAGAATGTCCTTGCATGACAGCAGTCCTAGTCATGTTGATGAGTCTACGTGCACATAATTTGCTCATGTTCCCCATAATCTAGTACACATGCTTCTGTTAAAGTCTTGTTAAAAGAAGGTCTGAGTATTGCATCCATTGTTTTAGTGTTGTATGGCCAGGTTCACCTAGAGGGCCGTATGTATAAATATTGAAGTGAAGATTTGGCTTGTTTTAGATTGACTGATATAGTATTACATTGACCCAGTGCATGAAGTAATATATTGTGCAGTGTACTACATAGAAGCTAAATGGCCAAAAGATAGAAGCTAAGTATCGTTGCAGCGCTGGTATTTACATAAGGCATGCTCAAACATAATTGGATCATAGGTCATAGTGGTGCGCTCAATGTCTGTAAGGCTCTGGTAAACAAGGTCATAGAGTTGTTTGAAGACAGTCACCGTGGTATCTTCAGAGCTACTCCTGTCTAGAAGGCAGAACGATTGGAGACAAGCATCCGCACCTTTATCCAGCAAGTGAACCATGCTACCCATCTCCTCTGCAGATGGCATCGCTACCTTGCCAGCATAAACCAGGTCAGCGGTGATGAGCATGCCAGTCAGAGGCCCCAACTGCGGCAAGATCTTCTTGATAGTGCGATCCTTTTGCTGCGTGAAGAGGAAGGCGTCTTTGTAGGACATCTTCCAGCCGGGCTCCTGGTCGTCAAACAGAGCCAGCCAAAGGTGCTCGTTGTCGAAGTACGTCTTGGCATTCTTGGTAGAGCGGGTCGTTGCCTGACCATATGCCCGAGCGTTGCAGAAGTACCGGTCCTTGTGCTGATTGAAGGAGGAGATGTTGGAGTCTGCACAGAGCTCCTTGTACAGCGCGTCCCAGGCCTCGAAGGAAGGGAAGAGAAGGCGCTCAGGGTTCTCGGAGGAAAAGCGCGTGCGATAGAAGATACCCCGCCAGCACCAAAGACTTGCTATCGCACCCTCCTTGTCGATATTGGTGGGGTGAAGGCAGCCGTGAGGTTTGAGGGCATTGCGGACCTCTGGGGCATGCTGCCGGAAGGGGAGCAGAAAGTCTAGGCTGTCGTTGACCCTTTGCTGCAGTGGCGTAAGCGGAGAGGGAAGGGGAGGCGAGAGCAGAGGAAGTAGCTCCTTGAGAAAGATGGTCAAGCGCTTAGCGGCGGACTGCATGGCATGATCAAACTCCTCAGAGTCTAGTGGATAGGCTGGGGAGACTGAGACAAAAATTAGTAAACAGTGGCAATAAAAATAAAAATACTCACAGGATACACCGCCAGAGACACCACTACCCATAGAGCGCCACATGTTGCGGAGAATCTCCAGGTGCTCCGAGATCTTAGCCATCACTTTGGACTCCTCAGAGTCAAGCTTGGCGAGGGGATGAGCGCGCAAGTCATTGGTGAATGGCGTCAGATTGGCGACTTGGAGACGCGAACCGCGGACCGCAGTTCCAGGAAGCACAGTCTTCCTTACTTGCTGGAAGCCCTCAAAGACACCTGGAAGGAGAAGAACGTCTGGGGTGCGGAAGCTCTCTAGGAGCCCGCGGAT